CAGCCTCGGTGGGGGGAAGCTGGGGACAGGCACGGTCAGGGCTTGGTGCCAGCCATCACTGCCACCAGGAGCATTGCTCCCCACTGCCCCTCTCCCAGCACTCTGCTGTGAGTCGTGGCTGGCAGGGGTTGGGGGGGTGATCAGGGTAGGGGACAGGGCAGGGGACAAGGTGTCTCGCAGGCCTGACCCTGTGCCTGTCCCTGCCCAGTTGTGTCTGTGAAGCCCAAGGCCCAGAGCCGCCCAGCACGGATGAACTGCTACGTGGAGGTGGCCGGCGACGGGCTGCCCAGCGAGACCAAGAAGACTGGGAAGCAGATGGGGGTCTCTGAGCTGCTGTGGAATGAGATCCTCACCCTGTGAGTCTGTGTGACCCCTGTTGTGGGGCTGGCCAGGGGCTGGCCCATGTGCCCTGCTGTGCCTCCGGCTGGGGACACTCAGGTGTCACAGAGCTTTCTCCTTGCATGGGGACACTGCCAGAGACAGCCAGGCTGGGAGGGTGGTGGGAGGGGGGGGTCTCCCATTGCCCCTTTCCTCATCCAGCTTCTTCCTCTCCTTGCTGATGGCACTGACTGCTCCCCAAGTGCGGAGCAGGCGTGAGGCCACAGTGACAGTCCCCTTCTATGGTCTCTGCAGGAATGTCACGGCTCAGAGCCACTTGGAGCTGAAGGTGTGGATCTGTCACACGCTGAGGAACGAGCTGCTGGGCACCGCCTCTGTCAGGCTGGGCAGCCTGCTCAAGGGTGGTGGCAAACGTACGTCCGAGGGGCCGTGGGCTGCGCTGGCGGGGCAGGGATGGGGCAGGGACGGGGCAGGGACGGGGCAGTGGCTGCTGTGCTCCCCGCCAGGGAACAAGGTGCTGTTGTGTGCCCCGGGCTGGGCGTGCCGGAGGCCGTACCTGCGTCAGCCCGGGCACCGCAGCCGGCTCGGAAACACAAACCCCTCTGCTATTTGCCGCTGTTTGCGGCTGCCAGAGCGTGGCTTGTGACAGCAGCTCCCACATAAAGGCGGCCATTCAGGGCTGGGGCGGTGCGAGCGGCCTCGCGGGGCTGGAAAAGGCTGGCTCTGTCTCTTCCAAGCAAAGCTTGTGAGACACAGACCTGGTATTGAGCGAGGAGAGGGGCCTCCTGCGCCCCGAGGGATTTGGGGCCAGTTCAGACCCTCCCCAGTGCTGGGGGCTGGGGTGAGCTGCTTCCCCTGGTGGCACCAGCTCTGAAACCACACTGGTGTCCCCGCCATGCCACCGTGGCTCTGGGTGGCATTGGGTGCTGTGGCAGTGAGACACACGTGGGAGCTGTGCTGCTACTGCTGTCTTCTCACGAGGCCTGTGGGGACTTGGATGTGTGCCTCGGGCTGGCTCTCCTGGGGTAGCTGCCAGCCAGCCCCACAGCTGTGGGACCTGTGTCCCTGGGCACCCTCCCCTGCAGCCGTTATTTCCCGAGGTGTGCAGGGCCGTGCTGGGCTCCCGGAGCCGCCGCGGTTCCGCCCTACCTGCGCTGCCACGGGGGCACAATTGGCTCTTTCATTCCCAGCCGTCCCGGGGGGCTGTGTGGAAAATGAATGGAAAAGGCAACTGGCTGTTCTAGCCTGTCTGTTAACATCCCCCAGAAAAAACGTGTCAGATTTTTCCTTGACACTGTGGGCTGGGAGGGAGGAAGGACTCTTAAAGCTGCAGAGCCTGCCCTGCCCAGGAAGGTGCTGCCTGTCTGCTCCTGTCTGCCCTCCTTGTCTGGGCTGGCATCTGCTTCCTCCTCTTCTCTGCAGGCTCGTGCTCAGCCTTCGGGCTTTGCTGCAGGTCTGAGTGGGCTGGAGGCTGCTGGGGGTCCCACAGGAGCCTGGGAGATGTCTCCCTCAGGGGCTTCTCACCTCCTGGGAATAGGGGAGTGTGTTCCGTCTGCCTCCCAGGCTGAGGAAGGGGCTGGCTCAGCCAAGGGCGTGCAGGAGGCATCTGGGATTTCAAGCCATCCTGAGTCAGACGCTTCATGTGAAGGGCAGTGAAATGCATGTGCCCGCTGCCACTGGAGGGGCCTGGCCCTCCTCTCCCATCCTGAGAATGCTCAGCCAAGAGTGAGCTCCTGCCAGGCAGCAGCCCCTCTCTTCCTTGGGTTTGTTATGGTTTTGGTGAGGCTTTATCAGCTATATTGATTTGTGAGGTGGCCTTGGGTTGGTGTTCCTGTGGTTCTCCTCCATGGGCAGGACAGTGTCCTCAGTGCTGGTGACACCTGTGGCAGTGTGTGCCAGGCTCCTGCCTGCCAGGATGCTGCTGTCAGCCAAGCATGCCCCACTTCAGGGGGAAAAGGCTCAGCTCTGGGGCCTGGAGCATGGAAGCAGAGCTCAGAGATGAGGCCTGAGCTCCCGGGCAGGCTGTGAGAGCCTGTGGAGCTGACAGCCGGGCTGCCGCAGGAGCTCTGCGGGGCCTCTCCGCTGGCAGGCGGCCCCTGCTGCCTTCCCAGGGATTGGCCGGGGAGGTGGAGAGGTGGGTCAGGAGCGGCTCAGTCACCACACGGGCTGGAGCCTTGCCGGAGCCGAGCCGCTCCCAGGGCTCCCATAAAACAGCTCGTTTGCCGTGGCACGGCCCCCGGCCCCGGCCCCTGCCCTGCCGCCGCTGCAGAGGCGCCTCTTTGTTCCCGGCCGGCCTCGCATCCCGGGCTGTGTGGGAGCCCGTACTGGGCCCTGCTGGTTGTGCTGGTCCCGCTGTGTGCCCAGCGGCACCACGTTCCATGGTTCTACAGAGCCCACAGGGTCCCTGCTGCGCTGGACAGGCAGAGTGGCTGTAGCCTCCTGGGATCCTCCAGGACACCAGCAGCAATTCCCAGCTTCTGGAAAACTGCAGCTCCACCCTGTTGTGGCTGTGATGCCAAAGGAGCTGTGCTGTGCTGCGTGTCCCAGCAGCTCTGTGAGCTGGCTGCCATGGCCAGGATGTAATCCCACAAAACCGCTCATCCAGCCAGTGGGTTGTTGGGGGATTGGAGAGTGCCCATCCCATGTCACCTTTTAGAGGAAAGATGCAGAAGCCTGAGGCCCTCCTGGTTATCCCTGGCAGATAAATTGAGCGGGACACCGTTGTCTCTAAGCTGCTGGTGGTTGAGGTTGGATTGTCAGGAAAGGCAAAGCTTCCCTGGGGAGACTTTCATGGGACAATAAAGATCATCCTTT